GACGTCGCGTACCGGCGCTGTGGCTTTGTGTTAAACAGCGAACAAAAAGATGTCCGACTGCCTCTGCAGATTCCGCTGCATTTACATATGAATGTTTACAGGGGGGGAATTTGCCTCTGAATTGCCGACAACATCTTTAGTTGGAAGTACAGAGGTGCTGTGAAGTGAATTGACAAACAGACCTTTAACGTAGAGCTGTTGAGTGTTGATATACTGATAAATATTCCATTTATAATGCTTCAAATGAATTCACTGCGTACATTTTTGCAAAGTGGGTCACAAAGGCCTCAACAAAAATGATGCTTTGAATGCAAAGGATACAAGGGTCAATATAGAAGCCATGTCCCACGGCAAAGAATGTGAATAGATGGTTCAATACGATCATAAAAGGAGAAAGATACAGGAGCCTCCGCAGCCGCTCCACCGGCAGTTATTTTTCCCTTTAATCCACAATGGGGCTTTAGTCTAATGTGCATTCACATGAGTTATCTGGAACTGCTGTAATGAGAAGAAACCCGGTCCATTAAGGTTCACCCTCCTACGCTGCTTACTATAATCATTGAATACCAACAAAATTAAATGGAACGAAGAAGAGAAATAGCAAATAAAACGCCTCGAGGGAGAGTTGCTATTGAGCCGCAATAGAAAAAAGTTACACAATGGGCTGTATTGTGTTTCCCTGCCTCCTGTACTCGCAGCTTCGATATTTAGAAAGGTGACCTGAATAAGTGAGTGACCGATAAAGTCGGCAATACAAAAAAATGAGACAAACATATAAAGCTGTCGGCTTTGTGGACAACGCGCACAACTACGGTTTCATGTCACTGGAGTCTCATTTTAAACCGTAGTTTAAACCCCAAACTGTGAAATAATTTCCAAACACTTTGAAATGGATCCTTTGACAGCAGCTCGGCCGCGTGGCCGACGAACCTCTGAGCGTACGACATGGCGGGTGCGCTTCATTCATCGGGAAGTTACGAGTCACAGTTTCAGAGTTTACCAAAGACACGATTACACGCGAGTGAGTATTTTTACATTGTTGTGCGGCTGCCGCAGCAGCCCTGAAGAGGCCGCCGTCGACGGTGTAGAATAAATATATTAATGAGGATTTTATGCGCTGCCTCTGTGCGCGTTATGCTGGCTGTGAGAACAAATATCCCCTTTTGGGACAACGAAAACAGTTATAAGTGCATTTTAAAGATGAGTAAATGAATACGAACGTATAAATGAATGAAGGGATGCTTTCTCCACGGCTCCCTCAACTTCAGGCCCATTATCCGCCGAATGGCGCTTTGCAACAACTGTAAATCCGAGCGACTCACTGATGGTGGCGTCCAACCGACCGACGGATCAGGGCGATCCACTTCACACGTCTTCCTTGGCGTACAGCTAGCATGAGCTAATTGATGCTAACAACGTCGTCCCTCGGCTCGTCTTGGATGGAATTCAGGCCAGGCGTGGTAGGAATACCACGCTGCTCGGAGGGCTGCTCTCTGCGTGGGCTTCGTCTCCTGCATATCTCTTTCTTTGGAGGGCGGCCATTTTATTATTCAAACCAAGCAAAGAGAACAAGTGCAGAGGGACAGCGGCCATTTGAATAATTGAAGAGGCTCCGCGGTGCGAGAGGATCCTCTGTCTCACACTCTCTCTCTCTCTCTCTCCACAATATTTTCCCTTCCATCTTTTTTATTTTCCAGCCCGCCTTCTTGAAGTTTGTCCCAGAAAGCAGCCTGGGACTTGCGCTGCGACTGCAGCCGATCCAAACAAACCCAACAGGCTGATGGGAGAAGACAGAAGATGGGGAAGGAGATGTTTCACTGAGAGAAAGATATATGGAGGCCAAATCTATTTTGACAGAAAAATGGCTGTGGACCAAAACGGGGGGATGAAAAGAATCAGCTAAAGCCATCTCTGCCTGTAATTTGTTAAACACTTTTACATAGCTTTCCCCATCTGGGTCCTTCAATTTGTTTGACAGACTTTAAAGTCATGACGTCTAAATAAGTCAGCGAGAAGAACCTTCCTCCTCCCCAAAAGACCGAATGAAGCATAGAGGAGTTTTAGATTTGACACGTTTGTTCTATCACATCTCAAGCAGTTGAACCACTTGTGATCCACATTGTGCTTTTTACCAATCATGTTACAGACGCTAGGATCAATGTGGCCACATTTGCATTTGGAAACCAGAAGCAAATTGGTCGACAGAGACAGTATTTGAGGGTGTTTTTGATGAAGTATTCAACTTGTTCTTCTAGACTCGTTCTTCTGGTTGGATAAAAGCAGAAAGTAAACATACATACTTCAAGACTCCACTCGAGTAAATCCAGACCACTTCCATCAGGCAATATTTGATTGATTTCGACTATGAAAGTGCAAAGAAACACAAACGTGGTCCAAAACATTTCCAAATGTGACTTCTTCACAGCAAATAGAAGTAATAGAAGCTGTCAAGCTGTCGAAAATAATTTAAACTCCATGTGTCGATTTACCACCCTCGTCATTTGTGGGCTGGCAATCTTTGGCAATGACACGCAGTGTTGCTGTTGCATGAATTTGAATGCAGCTAAATAAGAAATGGAGTAATTTTATATTGTCCGCATCATAATGAGGGAGTGCAACTGTCAAAGCAGCATGTGGTTGACATTGATTTGATCGTGCAGATCTGCTGAGGCTTTCGTTTACAGCAGCGCAGGGTGTTGCCGCCCCCCCCCTCTTTAGTGCGCTTTTATTTTCAATTTTTCTGCTCAGGAGATTTCAAGGAATTAAAATTCATATTTCATCAAAGCTTGAATAAAATGCTGATAACAGAAAATGTATCAAATGTATCTCCAGTCTTCGTAGGGGAGACGGTGGAGAACCAGTGTTACGTAACTGTTGCCACATTAATATTAGTGCAGCGTAGGAAAAATTGGGCTGAAGCAAAGTCCAATTATGCCTCAGAGGGAAACGCGCTAAAGGTCCGGTTTGGAAACAGAAAATCTGCTCGGATGAGATTTCTAGCGATTATGCTTCTCAGACCGGGATCATGTTTGATCTTTGTGGAATCGGCTCCTGTTTCTCCGGATACCTTTTCCTGTTATGCGCGAGGAGGAAAGTTTGGACTTTTTACAGTGGTGTAAAAAGCACTGAGACGTTTGATGGTCCACCAGCTGTTTTTAGCTCAACATACTGAGGCTTTGGTAGCTGACTCAAAGGGGGATTTGTAGACATATGAACCAGTATTTTCCTGTAACTGAGGACCACTGGGACAAAAGGGAGTTCACTTGTTTCTCATTATGATCCACCAACTTGCACTATTTCATCTCAGTATGAAACCCTGCAGAAGTTATTCATTTTATAGTGAATTCATCGGACCACAGATTTCAGGCTTAGAAAAAAGGGATGTGTTGTAGACGAGGGAGTCGGAAGAAATCACAGAATCCTGTTTGCTGATACGACAGAAGGACGCATAGAAGTAAATGCAAGAGGAAATGTGCATTTACACCTTTTGAGTCTAACGTCCACTTAAAGCTCCGTGTACTGCAGAAGTGCAATGGAGCACCATTCTTTCTAAAATATATTTCCCCCTGAGCTAAAAGATACTTTATTACTTTAATACGTTCTCAACTTTGTTGATGCCTTGAATTATACTCAAGGTCGAAATCTAATAGAGTCCAACTCTTTGGTTTATCCAACCAACGCACGTTATTGTCACAATGGCCATCGCGTCATGAGTGCAGCTGGAGTTTCTTTCTTCTTTTTTTTCCACCATATTCTCTGTAATTCCTGGAATTTTATTGTCAAAACATTTCCAAGAGAAAATAAGGAGAAAAAACTATTGTGGGGAGTGCGGTGTAACACAAAACCCCCCCATGTGTGACCAACTAGTTTAACATCTGTATCCCTTCCACACTAATCAAAGCCTTCACTGACCCCTCGTGCCCCGAATGGAAGCATCTGCCTTTGTTGTTTCATTCTCCTCCAATTATTAATTCTGGTTCACCCTGTAGTTTCCTCAACTGTAATTACTTACTTAAGGTAATTAACCGGCTCTATTTGAGCTCCCATTAGATTGTTTGTGTGCATTCAAAACAACACGTAATACAATCTCACCATGACTGATTAATATTCATCTTTGTGCTCTCTGTCTCCCTGAAACCCATAAAGCAGCGATGCCTCACTGACTAGCATCCACTCTGTCGCGCTGCCGACTTGTGGCCCATTATGTCTTCTAATGAGACGCGCTGTTCGCCTCGGACGGAATGGATGCGCACTCACTTGTCCGCCCGGAGGTCGGCGGGTCGTCGAGTGACTTACCTTCTTACCCCGAAAGGGCCAACCTGCAGTAAATGAAGTATTTCCTGCACCTGACCATCCCCAGCAATTAGCACTGGCGGGTTGCGGCCAGGCTGGGGTTGCCAGGGTTACGCGTGTGCCTGAAAGCTTTTGTAAAAAGGAATATATTGGTTTTGCACGTCAACATGTCCAGCGGTAACACGCGGTTGGTTAGATGATGCTCGTGGTCTCTCTTGTAGCTGAAGACGACATGTCGGGCACGTGCACGTGTTCCAGCTGTGCACTCAGATGTGGAGGCGGACTACTTAGACCTACGTGTTGAATGGTGTTTAATGGGAATTTCTTTGTGTCTGTGGAAACGGTGCGTTTTGGATGATTGGATAGAGTCTAACGCCTGTAGGTGGCAACCATACCTCATCGACAATTGAACCGCACGCGCTCCCGCACGCACTCGGAGAGGCATCGGATCTGGGCAGTGCGCGTTAATGCGATCGATCCCTGATAATTAACGACCGCCGGGTGACTTCAAATGGGCACGTGAACGCGCAGGCAAAGTGGTCAAAGTTAAAGCGCTCCCTTGGGGCGACACGGGAACACGCTCGCGCCCACCCAGGCAACCTACCCGCTACGCGCACTAACGCGCACGCGGAAACCAACACGTGACTCGCGCACCCGCCAGGTCTGCGCGCCGTGGACACCGTGGTCTCAACGTGCTCGCTATTCCAGTCATGCGCTGCAGCGAGCGGGCGCACCATTAAGAGCCGGTGGCAAACCCCCCCCCCCTAAAAAACGCTTGATTTGCAACACACGGATGCTGATGCTGATGATGATGGTGATGATGATGATGCTGCTGCTGCCACACCACCCGGATCGGACACACTCTCCCCGACAAGCGGAATTATTAGTAATAGCTGCGCTTATGTAATCGATACGCCGGCTTGCTTTGAAGCTTTTTGCTTTTTGTCATTTCACTTGACAGAAACACGCTGCGCGCCGCGTGCGGTCTTTCTCATCTGTCCCGATGCGACGCGCGTGATGGTCGCAGTGGGACGGACGGTCCTTCATTCCACCCAGGAGGCTTTTTTTATTTGTTGTAGGACGCTTCTGCGCCCCTTTCCCCGCTGACCTGAGCAGTGGTAATTATTTACCACATCTTGCTCTTTTCTCTTGAGTAAATGATCCGGATCCAGAAGAATAAGTCCACGCGGGCTTCGTTTTTTTTCTTTATCTTTTGCTGTAGTGGGATTTGATTTAGCGATCTTCCAAAGAGGAAAACCACCGGTGGGAGTCAATTTTGAACTGTGACTGTTTTTTTGGAGGGGTAAGAAGGGCCTATACAGACTTCACCCACCCCCCCCCCACTGACTCCCCCACCCTCCCCATCCCAAAAAAAAAAAAAACTCTGCAGGGTTTCCTCCTCCTCAGTCCAGAGGAATATCTCCAAGTCCAAGGGGGTTACTGCTGCTGCTCCGACGGGCTCTGATCGGCTCTCATCCGGGGAGGGGGGCGGGCGGGTGGGGGGGGGGGGGAGAGGAATGGTGGCCGCGCCGCAGATCCACGCAACTCTTTCTCAGTGTTTGGCATTTTTCGCAGGCGAGCATCTTGACTTGTGATCGAGAGAGACGCGGACTGCAGCAGCCCTCCGGAAAAAAAAATTAAAAAAAATCCCCCCCCTCCCCTTCTTTCACATGGAGATCTGTGCCGCGCTCCTGCTGCAAAACCTGACAACGGGCACCGGGGCCCTGCTGGCTTCTCCTCCGCCGCTCGCCGCCACGATCTCCTTCATTCGGAAAAATGCGTAAGTATTTTTTCTTTATTGTTGTGGTTCTGTTTGTAACGCGGCGTGCCGTTGTGTGTGCGCGTGCGAACCGATCCGTCGCCGTGTAACCGGCGAATTCTGCTCGGCTCGAACGGGAAAGAAAGATACTTTTTTTTCCCTCCCCGTTAATCTTTTGATGCGTCGTTTTCCCAAATTGTACAAGTAGCTGTCGCATCCTCGTGCCAGCGGGAGCGATTGTGTGTGTGTGTGTGTGTGTGGGGGGGGGGGGTTATATATATAGATGGAGATAAAGATTGATCGGGGCTGGATGGGGGTTGAGGAGGTGTGTGAGTGTGTGTGTAGGGGGGGGTAGCTGGTGCAACAAATTGTGTGTTTGAGGGCTGGAGCCTGTGGTTTTTGTGGCAGCCCCTGTTGCCAGCAGGACATTACAGCTAGAAAAGGGCCTACGTCATATGGTAATTCAAATTCAGTTCAGGTATTCTCAGCATACACGTTTGCAGCATCAAGAGCGCTGGATTGGCCAGGTGGGCAGGCAATGGCCACCTGGCCAATCCAGGGTAATGCCCCCCCCCAGGGAAAGGGCGCTCTGAGTGGGTGTATGTGGCGAAGCAGAAAGGCTTCAGGTCAAGCTTTATTTTGCGGAATCCGTTCATGCACACACATTTCCCCTCCGTCTCTGTGGTTCTGCTTGTTGACCCAGTATGTCTGCAAAAACCCCGGCCAAGCCACCCATGGGTGATACAGACAAGGTTGTTATGTGTCCCTGCCACAGGTTAACCACAAGTACAAGGTGTATTTGAAGTTGTTGCTTAGGCGATACATCTTCTTCTCTTCTCCCGTTTTTTTCTTTTTTCGGGAATCCGAATAGGAGCTGTCCATCAGTGGGAGGTGCTGAAAAGCCTTGATGCTGAAAATACTCGTGTGTTGGCTGAAATGGGCAGAGGGAGCCGCATTTGGAGCAGACATCACATCTGAAATTGCCATAGTGCTTCTGCAGGCAAAAGCAATGCACTTAAAAACCTGAACCCGCTCTTCCTCGAGTGTACTATCTCATACGAGCATCTGGCTATTTCACAACCTGCCTGTAAGTGAGAATCTACGTTTCAAATTTAGGTCAGAATTCAACTTAATTTTGGGTTTGGATACCATAATATTTTCATGCCCATTTCTGTTGAAATTGGAAGTTTGATGATTAAGTGGTTATTTTCAATCATCTTAAACACAGCACAGGGTTCGGTTAGATTACAGAGTGGGTAATTTACTCCTTAGAGTCAATGGCCTCTAAATATGTCTGAAAATGTATTAGTTAAAGTCTGAAAATTGAATCAGTCGTGTTTTCAACTGAGATCCTTTACAGCCGCACTTCAAATTGGCCTTACATTCACTTGCAGGTCTGGCTTATTTCAGTGCTCCCTAATATGCCCTCAACTGCGAAGAAAATTAAGGCCACACTCCAATAAGTGTCTCAATGGGGCATTGGGTCAGCATGAGCCACCTGCGCTGCTACACTGAGCTTTTCAGACGTTCCACCATGTGGATATCAAAGTGGGTCAGAAATGTTGTTTATACAATCCGGGTAATGTTCTGACTGGTTGAGAGGCCGGTGACCGTTACCGCCGGGGTGGCAGCGCCGGGGCACGTCGCGGCCCGTGGATTTGCCTTTGTCGGCTTGTAATATTCCTCCGGACAGAAACAGTGAAGCATAATGAATGTGTTGGCCCTGACAGCCGCCGCGGTTTTGGCATTTGCCAACCTGTTAAGGGACCAAAATGGATGTGCACCATGCCAGGATCGCTCCCCAGAACAGGTCTGACGGAAGCCTTCGCTGTGGGAAATAAGCACTTGGGCGAAAAGATTTCTTTTCATGCGTGACACACATGTAGTCAACCGCTGCTTCGGGAACAGGGCGAACGGTGACTCATCGAACCGTCCTCCTCAGTAAACCGCTGTTTGTTTCTGCCGCGAATGGCTGCGTAAAAGAGGTATTTAGGTATAATAAGGGCCAGACGCGATGCACTTTCCAACATAATATTGCTCTCTAAATTTCTTTGACAAGCAGCCTTCCTACTCGTCGGATAGACATTTGTAGAGATGGATTCATGGCGCTTCACACTTACTCGTTTTCTCTCTTGCATCTAGACATAATGCACTGACGTCACAGGGTGAGGAACACTTTCTCCCGCTCTTCTCAGGTAGTGATTCCGCTTACACGTTTTTTCTGCCATCATCAACTTAGCCTCGATTTTCAATTTTCAACCGTCATCATGCCGACAATGAGCATCACAGAGGCTCCAGGAAAAAAGTGTACTAAAACCATCAGCCCTCGGTGAAAGTTACGGATGTTGTTTTCCAGCCGCCGTCAACCAAAATAATGAACCACCGGTCCGCCCAGGGCTTGGTGCACGGTGCGATCTTAATCACGGATACATTTTAAATGCTGTTCAATGTTTCATATGTCAATAACCTGCCAGTCAAACCAGGATTCCCTAATTAATTCTGAAAACTCATTGCAATAGCAATTAGCACATGAATGATTAATGAAAATAAGAATCTCACACGGGTCATTTATCAAGCAAATATTATGCCGGATCCAACTGCTCGGATGTGAGGATGAAAATAATGCCCTTTTGTCCAGCTTCTCCCTTTTATATTGCGAATGACCTTCTGAACAGCCTGAAACCCGTCGTCCAATAACAATGGTGAAACTCATAGATTGAACCTGAGAGGTGGACGTAAGTCGCCGTGATGTCACTCATCGGTTTGTGGACATTTGAATCCTCTACTGGGCTATTTCAGCTGTCACCTGACTGGCATCGTCTTGGCTTTTTGGAACCGAAATTCTACTAAAAGGGTGGAGCTAATACAGCCACAATGTTATAATTAACTTTCATGAAAACAGACAGTGAAAAGGTTAATGTTTTAAAATGAGCAACACAGAGCGACTGCACAACGCCGTGTTAGCAACCTGTCAACCACAGGGAAGACCACCCCTAAAGCATACTCTCCTTTATGATCTTATTGCCTCTAAATGGCCCATAATTCACAAAATGATCATCATGCTGCATTGAAGAATACTTTAAACTAGTGATTGAGGCCATAAACTGGTGTTTACAATGTTTACTGAGGGAATAAATCATTAATAAGTCATTTTTACATAGACTTCTTTACAATTAACAACTAATTTCTACAGCTAGAGGAATGTCCTTTAGAAAAAGGCAAGTTTAAGGCCCTTCAACGTTGGCTTCACATTCCCAACCCGAAAGCTTTGGGAATGTGAGCATCTGTCAACAGCCAAAAAGCCAATACATTTCCAAATGACTGTCTTTTGGTGATTGATGGTTCTAGTAACTGTTTTTGAGGGATATGCTTTACCATGTGGGTTTACTGTTTTGTTGTTTCATCCCTTTACATTGGCGCCGTGGCCTTGTGGGTACTTCCCAGTGATGAGGATTGGCATCTGGATGAAGTGAGCAACAGCATCCCTGCGCCTTTCATCTTAACCAATGCACAAGTACATTTCTGTATGTATGTGTGCAGTACGACTGTAGGTGTGATATGCATAAGCCATTGGGGATGCAGCTTGAGATAAGACCAGTTCCAGTCGGCTCCATTCCCACAGATAGCACTCAGTGGGTTTGTGTCGAGTCAGGAAACAGGCCGACGCATGCGAGGAGTGCGAGGGAGTCCAACGCATGCCGGGCTGAAGAGACTTAGTATTCACTGTAGCAGCTTAAGTTCTGCCTTTGTGCACCACAAAGAGGGATTATTCAGCGAATCCTGCTCCGTGTCATTCACAAGTCTGCATTTCTAAATCAACAAATATTAATGTGGGGATCTGAGAACAGGCTGTATCTGCCCGTGTGCGCCTGCTAACCTACGATAGTTTATTACAGCTAAATGTGCCTTATGGGGAGTGACAGTGTTTTCATTCCTGCAATATATTTAAAAAAACATAACTTATGGCTCACGCGTCAGAATGACACATTGACTGTTTTGACTGTGGCCGTTGGTGCCTTATTTCACCATCTGCGTGCTACGTGTCTGCCGTGGCCTGCAGCGGCAACCAGCCATCAACTCCAGCGAGAGCGCCTGATGGGAAGAGGGCGCTCGGGCTACGGGTGCCGCGTTTCTGCCTCTTCAGCAACCAGCCACTTTCTGCAAATGCCATAATTCCTGTAATAGATTCCTCTACAGATTCCCAGCAGCCCACACGTATACGTGGAGTTTCGCCATAACGCTGGAGTCAGCAGTACGTTGCTGTGATTGCAGCTGAGGGCCGCCCTCCGCTCTGAAGAACGCGTAATCACAGTCAACAATGTCCTGGAGCCAATTAGGGCTTTTACACAACTCTTCCGCTGCTTTTATTTCGTACCATTTCAAAAGTTTTCCACGCAGTGTGTTAGCATAAATGTGAATACAATCGAGGCGTATCACCAGCTTACAGGAAATCACATGGAAGCAGTGCATCATGGGATTCCCTGGGAATGTGTTGGGCTGTGTTTTTTTTATAGCCGCTTTCATTTTGGATGCGATCCCAAGCTGATAAAACACTCTGACTAGTCAAGTTCAAAGTCAAACCAATCCGTCATTGGATCTGTTTTGTCCCCTCTATTTTATTAGCAAGAACAGCAAAAACGTTCAGCAAAGTTTATCATCTCCCGCGAAGTATGGTAATGATTTGCAGGTCAAAAGATGTCTAGACATCTAGGTTAAATGTGAGCTAAAAGCTATTGATTTTTTAACCACTACCTGAGCTTATACATCGGCCTTCAGATACCAGCGTGTAGAAATACACAGAGACAGATATAAGACTCACAACTCCAACTTAAATCGCTATATGGCAAAGTATTGTAACCACTAGGTAAAGTATAGTCCTTGAAACAATGACAGCATCTGACCCCGACATGAGGATAACACTATCAGGATCAGGCTTTAATTGTTTTTTGTATATATATATATTGTATATTGAAGGGTATATATCAAAAGCTTCTGTTGCTAAAACCTGCTGACTGTATTCT